CCGCCACTGGAGACAAACACTGCACTAGCTAATGTACTATTAGCTAGTGCTAATGTATTATTAGCTAGTGCTAATGTACTATTAGCTAGTGCTAATGTACTATTAGCTAGTGCTAATGTATTATTAGCTAGTGCTAATGTACTATTAGCTAGTGCTAATGTATTATTAGCTAGTGCTAATGTACTATTAGCTAGTGCTAATGTATTATTAGCTAGTGCTAATGTACTATTAGCTAGTGCTAATGTATTATTAGCTAGTGCTAATGTACTATTAGCTAGTGCTAATGTATTATTAGCTAGTGCTAATGTACTATTAGCTAGTGCTAATGTATTATTAGCTAGTGCTAATGTACTATTAGCTAGTGCTAATGTATTATTAGCTAGTGCTAATGTACTATTAGCTAGTGCTAATGTATTATTAGCTAGTGCTAATGTACTATTAGATAGTGCAGCAGTTGGTTACCATGGAGACTGAACGCAGGGCAGTTGGCAGATATTGCTGACCACAGAGTCACACTGACTTCTGAGGCAATTCCCCCACCTGCTTGGATCACAGCAGATGTACCATTTGGTCTGTGATGTAGGAAATGTAGAAATGTTTCAGGAACCGGAACGGACCTCCTGGAACAGCCAGCGGGTCAAACCCGTTGTTTTATGACCATCAGATTTGACCATCACAGAGCATGAAAGGCGAGTTTTCTGGGAGGCATTAGTTGGATGCCTGACAGTTGACTATATAGAAGGTAATTAGTGCCACAATTTCATAAATTACTTGCTATAAATAGAACAGAATACATTTAGAAGTATGGCATCACTGCCATACTTCCCCTGCAAGCACACAGTGCAACACTGCCACCTCCTGGTATATTATACACATAGCTGGACGTGACTAAAAGACCCTTAGACACTAATTTGTAACTTTCTGTGAAGAAAGAGCTGTTTGTGTCAGTCTGGTTCCTCCCTGTAGATATACTGCAAACACGTCTCACTGTTCCTGGTGATCAAATGAAAACTGTTTGCTAACCTGTCAAGAGGAAATGTTCGCTTAGCACCTTTCAGTTACGTGAGATTTAAGATTTTGTGTCACAGCAATCAGGCAGGAGAATGTTAGCGAGAGAAAGGAGGGACAGACTAAATAAGAGCTAATGTCAGGTTCCTTCATTTCTAGATTCCAACAGTTGGAGATACAGACAACATTAGGCCCCAATGACCCTAAAAGAGGTTTTCCTAATTCTCTACTTATATTAGATTTAGCTTCAAAAGAACATTTAGGCTCCATTTGCCTAAAATCATCTTCCAGTTGCTGCAGATTGATGATGATTGAAATATCTCATTCCACAACCTGAAGGACATTATTAACAACATTGCAGAAGGCTCTCCATGATGCCCAGAAACATCCCTCACACCATTACATTATGATTTCATCGTTGTTATGCTGCTGTTTATCATCATTTTTCACCTTTTTCCACAGAAATAATCGCAGACTGAGTTCAATAAAAATCCCATTAGATCAACAGCTTTTGGAAAGTTCACATCAGCCACTTTGGCATCAGTAATCAGTCACTTTCTACCAAATGTTGATTCTCATTTTGAATCTAAACAAAGGCTGAATTGACCTGCTGCAATGTGATTGGCTGTTTCCCTATTTGTGTTCACAAGCAATTTAACGAGTGTTAAAGTAGTCGGTGAATATACAAGTTATTTCAAGTTATTGACTCTGAATCAGTTTGCTGTTTACCTGATAAACATGGCAACTAACTTCACCTTGAAATAGATTGCTAAGCTAATGTTTTTGTTTGTTACATTCATGAACATGAAGGAAAGAGTCGTGACATCTTGTCTCACCTCACATAGCTGAGATCTTTACCTGAACATGCAAACAGCCCTCACACACACGCTTACACACACACACACACCACACACACACCACACACACACACACACACACACACACACACACACACACAGACATATAAATATAATTCCTCAGAGACATAATAATTGTCCCGATATGCTGTGTTTGTCTCCAGTTAAATATGTAAAGTATTAGTAACCTACTGAAGGTTACAGTCATATAATCCCTGCAAAGTGGATTTACTAAGATCAATGCTGCCCTCTAGTGGTAAATAGTTATAAGTACAGAAGCAGAGGCTCCATTTTGTTCTCATATTGGGAACTAATTGACTGCATTAATAGAGAAACATAAAAAAAGAAAAAAGGAACAATATGGCTTTCAACACAATATTCACAAAGCATCTATCCTGATTAAATTTACTTTAATATTATAACTCCTGTTGCCTTGCAGCAGGAAGATTGTGGGTTCGATTCCCGGCCCGGGGTCATTCTGCATGGAGTTTGCAGGTTCTCCCGGTGCATGCTGGGTACTCTCTGGGTACTCCAGCTTCCTGCCACAGTCCAAAAACATCACTGTCAGGTTGTGTCAGGTATATATATATATATATATATATATATATATATATATATATATATATATATATATATATATATATATATATATATATATCAGAAATTACATAAAAATGCTGAAATTACATAAAAATGCTGGACGTAATTAATTTGAATCTAGAAAAATGAGCTAGATTCCTGACTGATACCGGTTTCCCCTGTCAGGTGGATTTAAGGCGGATTTAAGGCGGATTTCTTGGGGCACAAGAGCTTGGCTGTCAGAGCAGTCATCCATCAGAGGGAAGCATCGTGCTTCAGCCTTCTGCACTGACTGTGGATGATGATGTTCTTGGGTAAAGATGCTTCAGCCTGAATGAGCTGCTGTTTGTGTAAGCCGGGAAAATTTGCTGCATGCCTGGAATAAGAAGTGCAGGATTTGGTGCAAACAGGTGAAACAGAGATGAATCATAAATATATAGCCATATAACATATTGGTTTATGTTATCCAATATATGGAATTAAATTTAAAACATGTATAAATTTCTAATTTAGGAAATGGAGTAAAAAGGCAGCGCAGAAAATACGAGATAAAAAACAAAACATGAAAACAAACATATTCTTTCTGTTCCATGTGGGAGAACATTCTGTTGTAGAAATTTCTTTTTCTCTATTAAGAGATGTACTCGAAATATAAAGTTTATGTTTCATTGAATATATCAGATATGACTTCAAAAGAAATTTGACTTCATGATTTATCGTCTTGAAATTGGGCATCTGTCTCTTTAAAAAACTCCTGCTCTTTGTGAGCAGGAAGTAATCACAACATGGCTCCTCTGTGTTTTCATCACCGTTATCTCCTATAATGAGCTCAGCAGATGCGCAGTTCCACCAGGTGTTTGCTAATTGCTGCTGACTAGTTTGAAGGAGCCGAGTGGGAGAGTCGTAGGGGAGAGCTGCTCTGTGAGGTGGAAACTCTGAGACTACAGCTTACAGGAGGAGCTTCACCCTCGAAGGCGGAGCTACGTCCACCAAAGCATTTTGCACAGAAGATTTTCAAACATGTATAAAAGAGTCATGGCAACACACCAGGTAGGTTTTTATTAGGTAATTATATTATAACATGAAATAAAAAAGTAAATTTTACATAACAGCATGTTAGTAAAAATCACGAAACAAAATGTTGTCTGATGTTCTGTAACCAAGGCGTTGAATTCCTGTGAAATCCACCAATGGAGGCCGAACGTCTCTTCAGACCTCAAAAGATTGGCTCCCTCACTGGATCTCAGGAAACTCCTGCAAACTTCAGGTCAGCTCAGCGTTTAAAATGCTTCGCTGGTCTCCACGGCCGAGCAGCTGCTCTCTGATCCAGCATGCTGACTGCAGACACTACAGCAGTGGCACCTTTTGGAGCGATGAATCACTCTCTCGTCTTTCGGTTCAATGAGAGAATCTGGGTTTGGCAGGTGGCAGGGGAACAGTGTAGGTGGAATTAATGAAATGACGGCTGGGTATCTGGAAATGCTTTACAAGGTCACAGTTGGGTGAGATGGATGTTCTGTGATGCTGTGGGCCGCCCTGGGAGTCCAGTCAGAGTCCATGGCATCATGAACTCTGTGGACCAGGAAGACATTTTTAATAAACATGTGGAGGTTGTTGAATGAAAACTGAACTGGTGTCATAAGTGGGTGTTTCAGCAGCAAAGTGACATTCATGGACCTAATAGAAAGAAAAAAAAGATTACCTGAATGGACCAGGACTTCCTGGAAACAGGAATTTTGCTTCACTTGCAGTTAAACCGTGGAGAAGCTTGACATTCGTTTGCTTTTGAAAGTTCAGGGAAGAAGTGAACTGAAACAACATGATTATGTGAATTTCTAAAGTGAAGTGGTTTTACGGCTGCATCAAAAGTAGCGTATTTTCCACAACTGCAATGGAATCACTCTTTTGCATCACGAGTCACATGATCAACAACCGGATGTTACTACTGGTGGAAACTACAAAGAAGATGACAGGAAGTAGTAAAAAGATTAATGATCATTAGCAACATGCTGCTGTGATTTTAATGGTGTTTCTTATTTAATGGAAACATCACAATCGGAAAATTGTTGTTGTAGTTTTTGACATTCAAGGATTATTCACATTCTCCATTCTGAGTAAATGTGTTAAATTAACGTTTGGATTTCACTGAAACATAAAAAGATTATTCAAATCAAATAAAATATGCTTTTTACACCTATAAAAGTGTAAAAAGCATCTGAATGCAGAGTGAGTCCATTAAGGGTCTCATATTTCAGTTGGTGTTTCCACTTTATCCTCTTTAAAATTTCTAAAGGTGATGAACTGCAACAATAAAAAAACAAAAAAAACAGAAGTGTGTCTTGATCCGTCCTGTACTTTCTGGTAAACCTGGTGGTGATTTATTTCCTGGGAGGATTTATCGCCAGCAGTACATCCTGGACACCACAGGTTGCTGTGGCAACAAACTTGGTGACCTTCCAGTGACTCAACGCAGCGACCTCCGACCTGGTCGCAGTGACATCACCCAAACTCATTCATCCTCATCAGAACAATAACCATTCTCATGAGCAACGTGTTATGCATGTTGTTTTATTGTACACTGGAACTGAAAAAATCTAATCTTTCTGCGCAGTTCTGATGATTCCAAAAATACATGATTCAAAATCCAAAAATACATGATTGCAACTGGGAAAATAAAATTATATTTCTTAAAAACTAAAGACAGCTCCAACATAAACGTTTCAAATGATGCACTGTATGCATTAAATAATGATTCATGACTGCGAACTCAGATAATAAGTTCTCATCCATGTGACGCCACGTTAAGCAGAATATTTCTTTCGGATTTTATAATCATATAATCATTTATATAATTTGAATCTTATATATATATATGTATAATACTATGACTATACATTCTTCTGTACAGGTAAATACAAAAAAGGCTAATCTATTTACAGTATTTATTAGTCTGTTGCTGCGGTCAGAGCCCTGATCTCCATGCTCTGTTGCACAAGAAAAAGTTAAATTCTTGGATTTTACAGGCACTCCATCATTTTACTGATGCTAAATTACCTTTGACTTATCTCTTAAAACTCTAACTCTGGTATTTACTTATGTACAACAAACTGAGTAGATAGCTCTAGCTCCAGATAACTGATGTGTTAGACTAATAACTAATAGCATTACTGGTGTTACTAATGACATTAGCAATGAAGTGATAATAGAAAGACATGGCACCTACTGACTTGGCAAAAGGCTTCTCAACAAATGGCTCGGCTGCATTGTAGGTTATACCACCTGTCAGCAACAGGGGGCAGCAAAAGCTCACCAACACAACAATCTGTGCAGAGAAACAGACAAAAGTTGAAATAGCCCTCCTGTCCCATGCCTGTTGTATGTTAGGCTTACAGTCTGGCTGCCAGGGTCGGTAAGGTGCATTTCTGAGTCACAAAAGACAATTCACATGAGGGACAAACACACACACGCATACACACACTTACACTGGAAAAATCCATTGATCTTTTACAAATGCTGAGTTATTTTTTCCTAATTTTTCCTGTTTTTGTCCCATTTGTTGACAGACAAAACCTGAATGTTAGCGTCTGCACTGACACGGCTCCGTTTGGGAAAAGCAAATTTCAGTTTCTTTGCATATAAGATCAAGTAATTAAAACAGAGAAATTGTGAAAATAAAATGGCTGATCATGTTTGACCCTTAAAAGTTCTTCTTTCATCCCATAAGAGCAGGCAGTGTCCAGTACAGGTGACCCATTTGTACAGGTGACCCGTTTGTACAGGTGACCCGTTTGTACAGGGACCCGTTTGTACAGGTGACCCGTTTGTACAGGTGACCTGTTTGTACAGGTGACCCGTTTGGCCTCCATCATTTACAGTCAGAAATAACAGGGAGTTTTCTTTCTTGATTCTTTTGTCATTTTCTTTGTGACTGGTCTTAACAGAGACGCTTGTTGCTGAGATGACAAATTCCTTCATTTGTTTCCACTTTTACCTCTAGAATAACAGCAGTGGAGAAGCTTAGTTTGTTCTCTCTGCTTCTTACGATTAATCTAATGAAACTTTATTAGTTATTGCAGAAAGACTTGTTTTGCTTCTTTTCTTAGCCAAATAAAACTTTGTGTAGAGATACAATGTGGATTCAGATTCAGTAAGAGATCAGCTTTAAAGCTGCACAATGTAACTTTTATTTAACAAAATGTTTTTTGTTTTTTTTTACTTATTTGTTAAAACTGTGATCATCTCTGGGCAGCAGAAAAAATCGATCTGCGTTCCCTCCTCCCTGAGCTGCTGCTGCCGTCTGAAGAAATGCACCAAAAACAACCAATCAGAGCCAGGAGGAGGGTCCTAGTGTTGTCAATCAACCTTTTGTACGTGCTGCTAAATTGGCTAATTGCGGCAAAATAACTCACCATCACAGGAAAACCCGTTTATCCGCCATCATCAGCAGCCATGCTAATTAGCCATAGCATTCATGACAGGGCGACGCAGAGAGCAAGTGGGAGGTATGTGGGTGGTGCACACATGGGCATGATTGACAACACGAGGCCTGATTGGTGGTTTCTAGCTGGCACTGGGAGATGCGACAGGAGATGGATTTCTCAGAATATTCGTCTCATAACACCACCATGACAAACTGACAGTTTCATCAAATATGACATAGCTATATAATATATATACCACAGTTTTAACTAGCAACAAAAACCAAAAGTCCATCTTTACCATTACAGCCCCACTCTTTGTCTCCTAGCCTTAAAAAAGACAGCGCAGAGTTCAATGTCAGGTCCGACGTCTGCCACATTCAGGCCGGTCTGCATTCCATCATCTTTTTAAAAGCTTTTGTGAAGCTGTCGTCCAGGAAGGCGTACAGGAACGGGTTGAGACAGGAGTTGGCGTAGCTCAGGCTGGTTATGAAGTAGGAGATCCCGATCACCAGAGGCGTGCTGCTGAGGTCCGTCGTCAGAACCACGATGGTGCTCAGGTGGTACGGCGTCCAGCAGAACAAGCACACGGCCACCACGATGAAGACCATGATGGTGACCTTCTTCTTGGCCTTGTCCAGGGCCTTGGCGTTGCTGTTCAGCCTCATGTTCCGCAACTTGTAGAGCATCATGGTGTACAAAATGCAGATGGTTGAGACTGGAATGGCGAAGCCCAGGATGAGCGTGTAGATCCGGCTCATTTTGACCCACAGAGCCTCCGGCATCGGCAGGAGCAGCACGCAGCTCTTCCTGCCGTCGTGTGGATTCACATAGACGCCGGCGAAAACGGTGAAGGGCATGACGATGAAGATGACGAGGAGCCAGACGCAAAACGAGATGATTTTGGCCGCTCTGTAGGTGCGGTACGGCATGCGCTTAGAACTGACTGTTGCCCAGACAACCAGATAGCGATCAATGCTCATAACCGTCAGAAAGTAGATGCTGGAGAATATGTTGTAGTGGTCAATGCTGAGGATGACTTTGCACAAAACTTCGCCAAAAGGCCAGTAGTTCAGCAGATGGTCAGCTATGCTGATCGGCAACACCAGGGTGAACAAGTCATCTGCAATGGCCAAGTTCAGGATGAACATGTTGGTCACCGTTTTCATCTTCGGGGCTTTGAGGATGACGTATATGACAGCCATGTTGCCCGTCAGTCCCACCGCGCAGATCACAGAGTAGATGATTGGCAGGATGATGTAGAGGTCGGCGTCGAAGTACGGAACGATGCAGTTGAGGTCGGAGCCATTCCCCGACGCGTCCGCCGAGTCGTTGCAAACCGGCAGCTCACCTCTTGGATGGGTCACGTTTTCCATCATGTTTCCACAAGTGTCCCAGTTCAGATCAAGGTTTTTTCACTGGTAGCATTTTCAAAGGGAAAACAATATTTTTAAAAAGTAGAGTTGAACTGAAGCTCTGTTTCTAACGTCTTCCTTCATCAGTCAACAAAAAAAAGCCGGAGTTGCAGAGCGGGAGAAAAGGTCAGGCTGATGGAGGATCGGTGCTTATTTCATCACAAATGATCCTCTGCTTAGTTTACCAGCAGCAATTTCACATCTTTTCATCTCAGAACCCAACAGCTTGAGCTCTTATCTCCCTCTTGACTTAAAAACACACAAACTTCACTCCAGAGGATTTCTCTTCAAATAGAAATGCTGAGGGCTCTTGGTGCTAAAGCTCTCCAAACACAATACTTCGCTTGTTGTTGACTTTAAAGTCCTTTTAGTCTTCAGATTCCCTTGATTTTCGCTTGTATCTGTTATTTTAAAAAATGTGAAATGACTTTCTGTAATAGGAGATGCCTCTCTGGTCCTGAGCAGAGACAGGTGTCCTCCTGCTCCTCTGTCCTCCCTCGATGTCAGACACTAACAATCTGATTTTAGCTGCAGAGCTCGGCTCCCGGTCGCTTTTATGCTGTTTTCTGTTTGGAACGCGCTCTGGAGAGGTTGCCAGTGCGCGTTACGCACGAGTGGCGCATCGAGTAACCTAACAGGAGGGAGATGTGGACAGGAATTAGTGACCAGAAATGGAAAGAGACACAATGAACTGGAATCAGCAACGGGCACCAGCATGATGACAAACTGTGGAAATAGATTTTAAAGGTGCAGATTTGGACCGAAACCGGACAACCCAGGACAGAGAGCGGAATATTTGAAATGTGACCTTTAAGGATTAAAACACGCCGCTTCTCCCTCAATACGCTTCATATGATTCTATATCTAAATGAAGTTTTCTTTCTTCAATATATCCGTCCAATAAAAATAGGCAAAAATCATGCAAATAAAAACCTCCCTGTTGAGAAGGTCGGATTTCTAAAGTTTAATAAATTATTATTATTTTCCCTATTTGTAGAAAAGTGTGATGATAAGGTAAAACTGAACGGATGAAGTAAAGGGAGGTGAGTTTACCCTTTGTGAGCCACCGGAGTCCCTCTGTCGGGTCTGGAGACGCTCTCCGCCGCCGCGCCGCGCCGCACCGCGCCGCGCCGTTCTCCCTCTCTGCCGACGCGCTCCTGCAAGGCAGCGCCTCCGGCTGACGTCATTTCGAGATCCCCGTGTCAATCATGCGGAGGTCCGTCTGCCTGGCCGAACCTCTCCGCCTCTACGGTGTCCTGCGCAGGTCAAAGTGGGATTTTTTTCTCTCTCTCTCTCTTCTTTTTCTGCCGGTTTCAGCCTCTGACTGGAAGAACTGCAGGCTGCGCTGCTCTGATCCCCTCATCAGCCTCCCCAGTCCTCAGGACACACATGGTGGGACAGCGTGTCAGGGCTGATAGGCAGAGAAGATGGAGAACTGCATTTTTGTGAAATAAATATCTGAAAACAGATTCATCTCTGAGTTCCAAAAGAAAAACGTTTGAGGGCAAATGTTCAGAAATTCTGAAATCATCTCAGAAATTTTCCAGAGTAAACAGATATTTCTGAGCTCCAAAAGTAAAAAATCTGCAAGGAAAGAAATCTCAGAAAATCTGAGCTTAATCAGAAATTTTCTAGAAAAAAGAAAAAATGAGTCTGAGACCCAAAAATCAAAAATTCTGCTTCTGTTGAGCTTCCCTTCTGACATTACCCTGTCGGAAACCCAACATCTCAGACTGTTGTTCAGGATTCACTGGCGCCCAGAAGCAGCTGCTCCTCCACATGGAGAGGAGCCTGGAGGCAGGTTCTGGTTGGGAACCCAGCCCTGCTCTCTGGTCTCGTCCCAGCACAACATGAAGACGTTTCTGACCTGGGATCAGTTGGCGATTCTCTGTTCAGGCTGCTGCCTCCACGACCCGACCCCACATTTCAGGGATAATAACGGCTGGACGGAGCTGGAAGCTCGGCTTTAATACGGTGATGATGATGCTTTGCTGATCTAAGGGAAATCAAGAGCAACAGCAGTTTGTGGCTGCAGCGAGTCTGTAGCTCTGCAGAGCTCAGCAGTGATGAAAGTAAAAACAGATTCCATAAAACGATGACATTTATTCATACTTTCAGGTGAAGGATTGTTAAATTCGGCCCTGGGTTTGGGAACATGTTCAGTATTGATATCCAATAATTGTATCAGAAAAGGAGTCGGTGTGAGGCCGCAGTGAGTTCTGTTAAAGCTCCATTTTCTCTCTGGTATCAGTGTTTTATTCATATCCCTCATGCAGAGTGCCTGAGGATGCCCGGCTTCTTAAAGCTGCCGACTGCATCAGGATGCACATCATCAGTCCAAGCGACAGTCTTCATGTAAAGAAACTCCTGATGGGATCCAGCGGAGCTGAGAGACTGAAACTCTTTGCTCCAGAGGTTTGAAATCAGTCACTGAAGTTCTCCAAAATATCTAATGGTTCACTTGTTCTCAGGAGTTTTGCTGGATCTTTTTAACTAAAAGACAAGATTTTAACATTTCCTTGCCAACTACATAAATATATCAAATAGATAATAAATGCAATATGAAAAACTTGAGTCTTATTTCAATATTTATTGGTTTCTTAATTGGTTTCTTACCAGTACTTGTACTTTTTAACCTCTGTTGGTTGAAGCAGTGCAGTTAAATATTATGTGTGTTGTTTTTATTGTGACTCGCTGAAAATAAAACTCGGAATCTGCAGGATGTTTGCATGCTGAAATCAAAGAGAGCATCTTCATTTCAGTGTAGATTTTAAAAATAGATTGGATTTTGAGGATGAAGCTGCTTTTGTTTCAGGTTGAAGTTGCAGCTTCAGGAGGATTCTGGGAAGTTCTCAAAAATAGAAATTTCAGGCAGAAATGGAAACCAGCAAAACTCAAGTCAATGTAGAACTTTTAAAAGCTGGCAAGCATAGGGTTATTAATTATTAATTAATTTCTGCTGAACAATATCCATTATCACCCCAGAGGCAGAAGCATCGCGTCTCTTTTCACATATCACTCAAATGAAACATTTTAACTGTACATTTTCTTCTCCTTTTATTGATAATGTTTCTCCTTCTCTATGGCCAGAGCACCTTTCCTCTAACACTGCAGTGAAATTTATGGAGCTTTAATAAAATAATGTGACTATAAAGTTAAAATGGAGAAACAATTCAGCTTTCAGTCTCATAATCCGAGGGTTTGTTTGAATCTCAGCTCAGCTTTTAACAAAAGGGAAAATGTAAGCATTTCACAAAGTTTACAGAAAAAGCTGTTTTCAAACAGCAAACACATGAAATGTCTGCGCGGCGCCTGTCTGCTGTCTGATTTCTATTATTTCTTCACAGTAGAATTCAGCCTACTGACAAAAAGCCTGTTTTCTTTTTGTCTCACAAAAAGAAAATAATGCTGAGGTGTGGAATTATATTTTTGGCACAAAATGCCTTTTTTTGTTTGTTCTTGCAAAACGCTTCATAGTTATTCGTCTTTTTTTTTTGAATGGGTTACTGTATAAATAGCTGGAAGGTCTGGATCTTTGAAAACTTGGACTGAAAAACTGAAAACAAGGCCGTTTTTTCTGTTTGCTGCCTTTTTTTCCAAACAGTCTGATCAGGAGACAGCAGGGCTCATCAACCCTGGAGGAGTCCATCCTCCAACTACTTCCTGTCTTCTTCTTCATGGTTTCCACCAGTGGTGACATCCTGTTGTTGTTCCTGTCATTAGTGTGTTTGGGTTATTGCAAAATAAACCAAAACTTTTTATCAAAAATGTTAAATTGCTGCGCTTCCATCAATTTATTTTCAAATTGCAAAATTATATGGTCGATGGAGCTGCAGCTAATGAGGATGTCTGGGTTTTCCTTGTCAACCCTGCCACCCCATACTGGATATGTAAAGGAAGAGAGATGAATGAATGAAGTCCAAAGTGAACCACTTTTCTGGAAGACACAAATGAATGTGACTAAAAAGCTGTAATATTTTCTTGTAGGCAGCAGGAAATCTACCCACAAATTGATTTAATGATCACTTCAAACTGCGAGACATGGTCAGAATCAAGCTAATCACCTTTGTGCCGAGCGACCCGGCCCAGACAACGATGCAGTGACACTCTGATCGATGGAGGACAACTGCCTCCATCGAGTCCAAACCTGCCCAAAGCAAAGTCACACTGGATGACAAACACCCAGCTATATATACATGCAGACCTGCACCCTCAGACATCATAACTCAAACAGAAGATATTTATTCATCACATCTGTGTGACTTTAGTTATTTTTCTAGTTAAATTAATCAAAGTAGCAACAAGAAAACTGTCAGGGAATCGTATTAATTCATGTTCCCATCAATAACATCATCTCTGAAATGTGCAGAGGCTTGTGAAAACAGAGCTGAATTTTTCAGACACCAGTGACTCAAAGCATTATGGCATTTTTCTCATGTCTAATGCATCCTTTAATGAGCAGCGTTGTTGCCTCTGAAGCATCGCGGCTCAATCAAATCATTTATGTTTCAGAAGATGATTTCGACTCTTCACTGCTGTGGAAAGAGGACTGGGAGCGGAGAGAGAGCTGCAGGAAACGAGGCTTCCTGTCAGACGTGGAGATGAAGTGAAGACGCATACAAATGATTTAGTGCAATGTTCTGAAAAGATTTATTATTTTTTCTGGTCTTTGTTAATCTGAATGGAGTCTGAATTACACATGCAAGCAGAAAAGGGTAAATATTCCCCCAAATAGTCACTGATATTTCGAGTAGCAGAGAAAGCATGGACTCTCTGAAGCCTTCAACCAGCTTCTGTTATCATTCTGGCCGGCTCAACCTGTGCAGCTCATCCGTAATGGCTGGTTTCCTGCCACAGACCATATAACTGAACACTCTGACATGTAAAAAGAAACTATAGAAACGACAATTTTGAAAAAAAAAAGTTTTGGCGCAAGGATGAGATTTTTTTTTTTTTTTCAAATTTGTTTATTTTGCAAACCTGCAAAGAAAAAACTGTTTTCACATCACAGAAGTCACATGATCATCAATCGTATTTTACCACTGGCACAAACCACGAAGAAGAAGACAGGAAGTAGTTAGAGGAAGTTTTTTAACGACTTATCACAGGAACAAACTTATTCACATGTAATTTTAATTCCGTTTATTTCTTCTGTACAGTTCTTCTAATACCTAGTTAAAGGTATTAGCACCTTGCCCTCCATCTTTGATAAGTATTCTGACGTCTGCATGCCTGTGTTTGCCCATGCAGGTTCAATCTGGATTTCTGTGAGGTATTTCTGTCTCAGTGTTGCTCACAAAGGAAAATATGTTTGCCGTCTCTGATGTCCCTGCAGCTGCAGGTTCCTCTCTGCTGCTGCAGAGCTGCAGGTCAGACAGACTGAGTTATTCTCTTCACATTCCAACCACTTCTCTCCTCTTCTCTTCTCTTCTCTTCTCTTCTCTTTTTTCTCTCCTCTTCTTTCCTTTTCTGTTCTCTTCTCTCCTCTCCTCTCCTCTTCTTTCCTTTTCTGTTCTGTTCTTTTCTCTTCTTCTCTCCACAGAGCTGCGAGTCCTGAGTTGTGGCTCATCTCCAGGTCCAGTTTAACTCATTGTACTGGATGTAATAATTATCAGGAAGTCATTGTAAAAGTCGGAGCTTATTGTGTTTTCCAACAGACAATAATCACAGTGACAAATCAAAAATGGTTTTGGAATGGATAAAGTGGACAAACATTAAGCAGCTAGACAATGTTTAGGTTTTTCAAATGAACTGAACCAATTCTTCAAAGAAGAATGGTCAATTACCCAGATGAACTCCTGCCCAAGGTTTTCGTCTCTTCAACTTGTTAGGAATGTTTGTCTTCATGTGCCAACAAAAGAAAATCCACCTTTAACTCAGATACATTTCCCAATTCTTCTTTAAAAAAAAAAAAACACTGAAGTTGTTTGTTTCAGCCATCCCACCTCAGAAAGTCGGTTTGCTTTTCACATCCAGGAGTTGATATACATGGTATTCAAACACCAAATAGAGCTTAATGTGCATTAATACATTAAGCTCTACTGCAGAAGCTACAATTTTCCATATTTCTATTTCTGCAGTTGTGTTTAGCTGAGTCATGTTTTCGTTTTAATATTTTAGATATGTTTTATGAAGAAATCTGCAAATAGAGTCGACTGTAAAAGTCCCACAGAAACTGGAGGAGAACTGGACTGCAGGAGTGGAAAATGCTCTTCCACAGTGAAATGTGTTGAACCACTGGGAGGAATTAGCATCAGCCTTGAAAGCCTGTCAGCTGCTGCTGATGGATGGCTGGT